CTGATTTTTTCCGTTTTTTTTTTTTTAGTGTTAGGCGTGACTTTGTGGGCTTTACAGGTGAAGGGGTTGGACTTGATCTCATAGGAAGCTGAGGCTTGGGAAAAGGGGAGGAAGTGTCAAGCTTTTGCACCGTGGACTGGCTGTGTGACAAAGCCACGTTTTCGTTTCTTGCATCGCTGATCTGTAGAAAAATTAGTGTACTCTGAGCTTGGTTACATGCTCCGTGCTTCCGAAGCAGACCTCAGCCAGCAAGAAACGGGCAAAACATAATACGGCACCACGGTACTTCAATTCATGCAAACACATCACAGCAGGTAGCTGTGCGCCACCACGTCTACTCCACTCGGACAGCATGCAAATTTGAAGCTATTAGCCCCACCTTTGTCCCAACAGCAAGCTCGGCTTGAATCCGATGAGATAAAGATAAGAGAGGGGGGGGGGGGGGGGGATGGTCAGACGTCAGCCACGCGACGCTCACTGAGATCCGAAAGCAGGCTGCGCACTTCACTCAGGCTTGAGGTGAGGCTGGAGCGCCGGGGCGAGGACGGCCTGGCTTGCTGACGGGAGGGCGGTCGCGAGCCAGAGGGCGAAGTTGGTGAACGCAAACCGACATCCGTCCTCGGGTCGGTCCAGTGCCCCGTTGAGGAGCGATGCCGGGCGTCTCCGTGCGGAGCCGTTGCTGAGCGTGGCCTCATTGGTGCATCAGATCCAAGGTAGGTGCTCGTACTAATCGACAAACGCCGCTCCGGTTCGCGATGCTCGGGGCTGGCACTCACACGACCTGGCAGGAAACGTAGCTCGAGCACCACATCATCGACCTCTGACTCCTGCCCCGGACCCGGTATGTCAACAGCTGCAGGAGTCCGCTCCAGGCAGCCTTTTTCCAAAACGCGGGCCGCACTTTCCACGCGCGCCAACACCACATCGCCAAGCAGAGCGCGACGTTGAGCCTGCTTGGTTGCCGGCGCCACCACCGGGGCAGCGGGAGCGACTGGTGCTTGAATGTTGGGCTCGGGAAGTGGGTCGTCGGCACACACGGGCTGAAGGAGTGCCATGACATCGATCCCCTCCATGGAAAAGTCGTCATTGGGTCGGCTCGGGCCTTCCTTCGCGATGGTCGCCGAATCATTGCTGCTTTCTGGTGCAGCTGCTTTGGCAAGCGCGCATGCTTGTGACTTTTCCGTGTTGTCATGGTTTTTAGACTCCATCGGTGCTGCGTCCGGCTCTGTTGGTTCCCCTTGCGTGCTTGGGGATGAGTAGGGTGGCGGCAAACTGTTTCTTGACGAGGGACGCTTGGTTGATGAGGAGCGCTGAGCGGGCTTGCAGGCGCTCGGGCTCTTGAGTGCAGCTTGAACAGCCTCGGCAATATCCGATTTTGACAGCGGCGTCAAGTCTGTCAACATTCGCCACAAAACTTCGTTTTCCTTGGCCAACCGCTCGACTGCATAATGGTACACAGTCAAAAAACCACTCGTTGAGCAGGCCATATCCAGGCTCGGTGCACTTGGCCAACGAAAACATCAGCAGACAGTGCTTTGATAACGCACCTGGTAGATGAACAGAACCGGGCCCGACAGACTGGCGAGATGAAGCTGCACGCACAGAGAGGCAAAGCAGAAATGAGGGTAGGAGCCGGTGCAAAGGCAGCACTTGCCCGCATCGTGGCACGAAACAAGGAGACGAGGCAAGATGAAGAAACGAACAACGGCACATGTCCTCAGGTGTGGAAAGGATGTCTTCCAGATCTGCCAGGCCAGTACTTGGCCCTGAATGCTTATCAGAGGGTGGGTTATCGACCGTGGCTCCCATCGCCACTTCCGCCGCTGCCATTTTCAGTCGAGTGACCTCGCTGGATCGCGCTTCAAGGGCCGCTGTGAGTTCCTCAATCTGCATTTGAAGCTTGACCAGTTGCGAACTCATGTCATGGTCACGCGTCGATGTCGTGACAGAATCCAGCCGACCAGCCAGCTCATCTGCAATGATATTTTCTTTGTAACATATCAGGCGTGCTAGCGGCTCGTTAATCGCAATCCGTTTGAATGGTAAGGCCGCCAGGCTTGTGACTTCGCGCGCACTCTCAGCCAGCGAACGAAGCCTAAGACATGCACGCATCCAACAAGTGTGCTGATGAGCAGGCGATCAGCCGCCCCAATTGGCCACGAAGAACCATGCCGGCCGTAAGCATTGTTGCCTCGTTTGCTGAGGTGGGGGAGCACAAGCCGTACCGGTCCACATTATAGAGGCTTCCTATTTTTTTCTCATTGCCGTCGGCAAGGAAACGCAAGTCCTTCATGAACAAAGGCAAAAAATACACTCGCGGTTGCTTTTTGCTGAGCGCTTTCAGTGCATTTCGGTACGCGCGCATGTTGCGATCCGGCGAGGTGAATTGTACAAGGCGCTGGAAGGCTCGACGACATTCTTTGCTTATGTTCTCAAAAGCCTGTAGCAGAGCATGATGCCCAGCGATGAGTTGCTATTGACTTCGCAGCAATTGCCCACTCGGCAGCCGCACGAAAGGTGCGCGATTGTAACCTGTTGACAATGCTTGTGCATTTTCGCCGTATCGAGGCAGCTGATGATGGTAAAAACGGAGAAAAAATTGTTTTGCTGCCGACAATGGGTCGCGGCAGCAATAAACTTGTCCAGCATCAGCGTTTGAAGTTGCGGATCCTTGCAGGCCAGCATTTCACTTTCAATCCAGTAGTATTCTGTTCAAAAACATGTCCATAAGCAGATGCTTTGAGCCAAGGTGACGAGCAATGTTTAAAAACGAAAAACAACAACTTCGATATGAAACAGAAAAGTCGAACCAAGATCATAGCGACGGATCAGACGCTGCAAGGACGGCGAGTTGTGGTTGAGCAAGACGGCGGTGACCAATTCGCTCGGTTGAACGCGCGCAAACAGAGCTGCGTTATGTAGGGTCATGTGGTCTGAGAGCTGCTCCGCTGACACCATCTATTCGACACCCATGTTCAGGACATTGAACTAGGTGTGAGCGTCGCATTTTGGTGGCCATGCAGCAAGTTGTACATCCGACTCACGATAAGCGACACGTTGGGTTCATCGACTACAATATCACTTTGGGCGAGTTCAGCCTGCTCGCGTGCGGCCATGCGTTCAATGGTCTGCTGCAATTTTCGCGCTGCCTCTTGAGAGACATATCTTGAGGCGGCGGCCGCGACGGCAATGTTGCCCAAGATCTGCCGCATGCCGTCTTCTTCGAAATCTAGATTCAAATGGAGTATGAGTGCATGGTTCTCAGGGGCCAGGGGGGCATGCTCGTGGTCAGTCACGCTCACCTCGCCATGCCACTTCAAGCCAAGCTGTGAGCGCGGCCACTACGTGGGGCTGTGACTGTTTTGCTCGCAAGGGCTCTTTCATCTAGTTGTAGTAGTAAGGGGGCGCATGCAGAGTTCCCGCAAATGCTGAGGATGGCTTTGTCGTTGACAATCGCCAGGCAGGCGGGTCGAGGGGCGACAAAGCCACAGGGACAGAGCGGTGTGCAGGATTGAACAGACCTGGCGCCATAGTAGATGAATCAAGGTTTCCGGGCTGACGAGAGCTCGATAGCACACGACAAAATGTCGAACAAATTTGCTGTGAGCGTGTAGCATATCCTTACGGTCTTGATCTTTGAAGACGGCCCATGGCAAAGCCGCTGCAGGGTCAATAAGGTATTCAAGCAGAGCCACGGTGGAGCCAGCTTGCACCGTAAATCGATTTTCAAAAGATCTACAACAGAGCCACGGCGCGAAACTGAGGGTGCACCGTCGGTACCATGATAAGCAAGGTGATGGGGACTGACAGCTCGTTTGTCGCTGTTGTGGTAGTACTCAGACTGCGCGGCGTGACGTTGTTTGGTTGCAAGACGGGGTCTTCCACGAACTCAGCGCCGTGGCTTTCCGCGAGCGGCTGGGGTGAGGTTGCGCCTGCCGCAGCGGCATCACTGCCACCCCGCGTGCCATTGGGGCTGCGGCCTGGGATGCGCAAAGAGCGTCGCTGCGTTGGAGATGGATGGAAGGAGGGTTTATCGAGGTCAGGTTACGCTGGCAATCGTGGAGGACTAGGCGCAGCGCAGCAACTTGCCAAAATTTTGTTGATGCCTGGACGCTTTTGACGAGTCGAGTCGTCCTCGCGATCCTTCGACATGTCGAGGGTGTCCATTTCCGCTGCTTCCTGAGGATCGGGTATGCATGTACGAAAGGGTTATAATGAGACGAGGACGAGCGAGGGTGAGCGACGGTTGTGGGTGGTGGGTTGTGCTCACGTCTAGGTTATCCCGGGTGGTTCGGCGCTCATTAACGGCATCGACGAGTGAAAGACGAGGCGCGCGATCAAAGCTGGTTTGCGAAGCAGTTCTGCTTTTTGCATAATCTTGCGCGTTGGTTTGCGAGTGCCCTTCGCTTGAGGTGGAAGCCAGCGTGGCCTGGCTACCCGTGCCAGCGCTGGATCTGTCGACTTCTTGATCTCGGTTGGCATGGGTGTCATTGTCGCCATTGCGATTGTAAGTTTCGTGGGTGCTCGGGCGCTGTGCTTGGGGCGAAGGCGGGTCTGATTCGGAACCGGCAAGCTGGCTCAGGTCCAGGTAGTCGTGCGTGAAAGAGCGTTGCATGGGTGGTACGTTTTGCAAGAGGCGATGACTGCTGCGCTGTGCCACCAAAGCCAGCATGTGCTGAGACGGGGTAGACGGCAGCAGGTGGGGTCGTGGGGTGGCAGCGCTAGCCTGGGGGCCATGACTCTGTTGCCTCTGCGTTTGAATACGAGGGAGCTTGTCGTCTGCCGTCTCGGAACGGTCATCGTCGGTATCCTGGTCACTACTAGAGTCATCAGTCGTTTTGTTGTTGTCATCGACATCTTCATCGTCATCCTCATCTTCATCATCGTCAGAGGCGCGGGTGGAGGCGAGATCATCCGATGAGAGGGAAGCTGTCACACGGACTTGGGTTAGATTGGGTCCAGAGCTCAGAGCAAGGGCTCGAGCAAGCGGCGATAAGGTGACGCCTCGCGAAGCTGCATTGGTCAAGGTAACATCGGGCTGTTCCTGACTCGGCAGGTCGGGTGGTAGGTCGGGATCCTGCGCTGCCGAGCCGGGGACGATGGTAGGCTCCTGACCCTGTCCTTGGCTATGCTGAGAGCTGCAATGGGAGCCGGCCGAGCGGGAGGAGCGGCTGTCCAAGGCGGCTGTGGCGGCACGCTTATGGCGGATGGCTCGGCGGCGTCGATTGAGTTTGATGTTGTCAGCCTGCTCTGAGTAGGGGGAGCGCACGGGGGTAAAGGCACGAAGTCGGGCCTCGGAGGCAGTTCGACGCAGTGTCGTGTCTTGGGGCTTGATGGCACTTGTTCCAATCAGCCCATTCCAGGAGGCAGCGCTGGCCTGATCGCTGGTTAAATCATCGTCCAGGTCGCTGGCTGCAATTGACGATCGGGCGTGAGATGAGGAGCGTTGGCCAGCTTCTTTGTCGGCGGTCCGCGCTGGCGGCCCCATGGTGCTGAACATGTGGTCCACCTTGTCTGTCTGATGATTCAACCAGAACCACGGCTTGCGTGGACTAATGGGTAGTTACACACCCTCGCAGTCACCGTGCCAGCGTGTGTCTGTTTGCGTTGGCGCGGAAGATTGAGCCGAAAAAGACCATGTGAGGTATGCTGAGTTTGGTGTCTGTCGTCCTCTTTTTTTTCTTTTTATTGAGAAGCAGAACGGGGGAGGAGAGAGGCAGAGGAGGAGAGGGGCCGAAGAGGAGAGAGGCAAAGAGGAGAGAGGCAAAGAGGAGAGGGAGGCAGAGCAGTGTGTGTGTGTGTGTGTGTGTGTGTGTGTGTGTGTGTGTGCGTGTGTGTGTGTGTGTGTGCGTGTGTGTGTGTGTGTGAGTGACGGCGCGATCTCGCGATTTTTGAGTTTTGTCCGCAAAAATGTCCGAGCTAACGGGTGACGCAATCATTGTCAGAAACAAGTGTTGTTGAGAATGTGCTTTTCATACAGCTGTTGTCAACTTTATGGTCGGTTGTCTGTTGAGAACTATTGTTGTTGACATGTTTCCTGAGGGCCAGTTGACCGTTACTCTCTCTCTCTATCGCGCGCGTTTTCGGTTGATGTGTGGGTGTCTCGCTGTCCGTCCATCCCGTCCGTTCGTCGGTCTGTCGTGTGTGTGTGTGTGTCCTCAGTGTGAGAGCCTGACGACGACGACGACGACGACGAGGAGCGACAGCCGCTGCTAGGAACAGCCCGTGTCAGGACATTGTGTGCGTGGAACACCGACGGGGGGTGGAGGGCGAGGCTGAGACGAGTTGTGGGCCGATTCGAGGGCTCATCGACGACCTTTGCTCCTAAAAAGGATTTCCGTCCGTGCCATTCGAGACATTTGGCTCTACCCAACCGTCTCCTTGTCTTGACTTCTTGTGCCCTCACCTTCGCGCCTTGATTTGCGTCGTGCGACAGACGCGGGGTCGTGGGGGCTAGGTGTTGTCTCTTGTTCGCTTGTGATAGCAGCTTCGGCGTGCTTCTTCAGGAGGATTCCTGCACCTGCTCGACTTGTGCAGCGTCCTGCTTCCGAAAAGCACCATGAAGGCCAAAACGCATCAGATTTCCTGGCATTATGAACAGGATGCGCCCAAGCCTGTCTTTGCGGTTGATTTTCACGCTGAGCAAGGCCCTGGAGTTTATCGGTTGGCCACGGCCGGCGGTGATCGCACCGTGAAAATCTGGCGAGTAACCGCGACGCCCGATGGTGATACTCACGTCACTTTCCTTGCTGAACTGCGCCACCAATCCACTGTCAACTGCGTGCGCTTCGCACCTCACGGTTACACTCTGGCCTCGGCCGATGATGACGGCCTGGTGCTCGTGTGGACCTGCGATGAGCCTGCACCTCTTACTGAAAATGGCACGGTACCCCCACCCTTGGATGCGTCAGCGGGCTCTTCAAACGTCGCTTCGGGCTCTGGCGCAGCTCCATCGGGGCCCACCTCGGCCTTGGGGTCAAAACAGTCGCCGGCAGGGCTTGCGCCCTCTGCTACGAGTACCGGCACCGCGGTACCGACCATAGCCGAGACCAACGCCACATCCACACTTCTTGATGGCGGGGAAGCCCCCGAGCAACTCGAGCAGTGGCGCACCACACTCCGGTTGAGGCGGCACGACCAAGATGTCTACGATCTGGCCTGGGCACCAGACGGGCGGTACCTCGTCTCGGGCTCTGTCGACAACTCGGCCATCATCTGGGATGCGCAGGATGGGCACGTGGTCTCGCAAATGAAGGACCATCGCTCCTACGTCCAGGGCGTGGCCTGGTCCCCGCGCGGAGACAAGCTGTTCACACAGAGTGCCGATCGTTCCCTGAAGGTGTTTAAAGCCCGCACCACCAAAAAGGGGACGCTGCAGGTTCAACAAGAATGCACCCTTTCCACTCTGGCGACGCCCAACAAGCGCTCAGATGACACAGACAACGTGACGAAGACGCCGACAGAAGGTGATGAGCCACCGGTGGAATCCTCCGCTGCCAATGCACCACGCCTCTTTGTGGATGTCACCAAGACCACGTTTTTCCGGCGCGGCCACTTCTCCCCAGACGGCACCCTTATCCTAGCAACAGCCGGTCAAAGCGTTGTTCACACTGGCAAGTTGGCTCCCGTCGAGCGGCGCTGGTCTTGCATTCCAATGAACGCTCAAGTCCGCCCAAATCTCACTTGTTCTGGTGTCTACAGATCACGCGCGCCACCGGCCCTGCTGTCATTTGTTCCGGACATCTATGCTCACCAGGTACAGTCTTGATTCCCTTTTTTTTTTTTTTTTTTTTTTTTTTTTTCCCAATGTGCGGCGTTTTCGTGCATCTTCAAACTTTTCGGGGTGCTTCGTCGGCGATGGGGAGAGTGGACTCACATTTTTCGGCGTGGCCATGCCTTGCAGGCCGGTCCTCGAGTACCCCACAGATGAAACGGCCGTGGTTGCCCGCTTCTCTCCATGCGTCTATGCGCAACGAAGTACGTTTTTCCTTGAGCATGGATGGTCAGATCTGGGTGTGTGTGTAGCCAGGAACTAACATCTGGAGCCTTGCTCACGCCAATTTCCACCTGGTGCTTGGTCTCTGTTGGAACATGTCTGCTCCGTGTAGCACACGGTGTGACTGCCATGTTCACGGGGTATGTTGACGTGTCATCGAGATGTTTTCATTCGGCTTTCGTTATAGCTTGGTCTACCCTCGTATTATATGCCAGCCTCCTCACCGTCAGTTTGTCGTGCCGTGTGCTGGGTTAGGCTGCAACATCGCCTGGTGTGGGCCATTGCCAGCAAAGAGACGGTATTTTTCTACGACAGTCAGCAGCAACAACCCTTTGCTGCCGTGCTCAACTTGCACCTGGCTCCCATCTCAGACGTGGCTTGGTAAGGCCTTGCATGGGATGGGCTTTCCGTGTGCGCCGTGCCAAGTTCACCCTGGCTACATTGCCACGCAAGCGAGGGTCTACACGGGCCGATTCTTGACTCATGCTTCTTGACTTTGCGTCTGCCTCAGGAGTCATGATGGACGTTTGTTAGTCGTCGCGTCTGAGGACGGGTTTTGCTCTATCGTGGGGTTCAAAGCAAATGATCTGGGCGAGAAAGTGGCGCTGGAGATGCCCGTCCCGAGCTCGCCCGTGGCAACCCAGCCACCACCCACCACCCAGCCTAACGTAAGTAAAATGTGCTATTTCTTGGTTTGGTTTGTTTTGCTCGGGCCTCAACGCTCAACGTGGGTATGTTGCTCAGCGCTTTTGGTTGTCATCCCTGACCCACACCGGCCTGTCTCCTGCCTTGTCATGTCATTACAGCACAAGATTGTGCCATTGGACTGTGAGCGCGGTCCTGAGCCTGCAAAGACGGGGAATATCGAGGGGCCATCCACCAGCGAAGAATCGACAATCGACAAAGACAAAGGTACCCAGCACGCCCGAACCTCTCGCGCCCCGTGTGCGTTGCCTTTTTTTTTTTTTTTTCCTCCTACCGCTCTTTTGTCCCATCCCCGTTGCTCATCCTGGTTGCTTGGGTGGTGTAGCCAATGCCAAGGGCCGCGCCATTATGAAACGTATCGTTCCGCAAGTACTCGTGACCGAACCCACCACCAGTCAGGGAGCCTCCACCCCGGCCACTACCACGACCAACACAAAGGCCGAAGCAAGTGCGAGTGGTAACCCAGGCGCCAAAAAACCACGTCGCATTGTACCCATGACCACGACCACGACCACTGCCAAACCTCTTTCCTAGCCGAGTGCTCATTCGTTCTCACTCACTCTCACTCTCTCTCACTCTCTCTTTCTCTCTGTTGCCTCACCCTACGTTCATTTGTACGCCCAAGTAAATTGAGTTTTGATCAAAATTTCATTTGAAAACCTGGCATGTGAATCAAGAAGACGGTGATTATCCACAATGTCAGATGTCATCTATATAATCTTTTAGCATGCACTACAACAAGCGATGATTCGTTGGTTCAGTGGTAGAATTGCCGCCTGCCACGCGGTAGACCCGGGTTCGATTCCCGGACGAATCAGATTAATTTTTGCTTGTCTTTTTTTTGCTTGTCCTGCTTGCCTGCCCTGCTTGCCGTTTTGCCTTGTTTGCCTTTTTGTTCGCACATCTCATTTGGATTCTACGCCATTTTTCCTTTCCTTATGATGCAAATGATGCAGAGAAATACAATTTCATGTACAGTACATCCGGATGTATCAAGCAAAAATTTTGTGTTGGTGTAAAGGTGTGTTTTATTTTGTCATACAAATAAATTATTTTAACCTCTCTTCCCAAGCGATGATTCGTTGGTTCAGTGGTAGAATTGCCGCCTGCCACGCGGTAGACCCGGGTTCGATTCCCGGACGAATCAGGATTTCTTTTTGCCTGCCTGCCCTGTCGAACAGCTGTGAATGGCGTCGAGGTGTCGAGCTCTCTCTCTCTCTCTTTTTTTTCCTTTGGACTGTCAATTAGGTAAGAGGGTGGCACGTGTGCTTGGGATGCATCCGGATGGACTGGCGAGTCATTAGAGAAGGGGTTGAAGGTGCTTTTGTAGCGCGGCAAGCATGTCGGGGGTGAAGACGCTGGGGTTGCGGTGCCAGCCTACGCTCACGAGGGCTGCGACGTGCCGCTGCATGATTGGCACTCGAGCTTGCTGTACTCTAGCACGCGCTAAGGGCCCGTTGCAGCGACACGGCAGTGAGGCGAATACGTTTCTTGAGTCGAGTTTCTGATTTCTGTTGCCTTTTAATTGGTGTGGATGAACGTGGCCTTTGAAGCCTGGTTGTCTTACCAGCTACAGTCCACGGTGAGCAGCTTGCCAATTGTGCACCGGCTGCCAACAAAAGTTCTAGGGTCTGGATAACCGGGGTCCAAGCAGAAGCTACATGAGACACCAAGCTTCGTCATGCGTGTAGGGGTGGATCAAGCGCTTCGCACCACGGCCCTGACCTGTTGGGCATGCGGATGCTCTTGCATCAGCACTAAATCGGTAGGGAGGAGACCATCCTAAGTTGGCCGGTGATTGTCAGTGAAAGCATTGAGTGCCAGTTTCTCCGCCAGTGGGACTCAAAGGGCAGATGCGCGGGCACAGATCGAGCACAAATCGAACCTTGTTGCATACGTTGACGTCCGCACGCTCGTCTTGCACAAGAGGCCGTACAATGCCGGGATCGCCGTGCTTGCATGCGCAGTGCAAGGGCAAATCTCCTTCCTGTGAAAGATCGGGTCCATGTATCGCACCCGTGATGCCCACCGCATGCGATTTGGGCAACGATAGCAGCTGTGGCAGATCCACTTACTGTCGTTGCAGCAGAGAGGCTGGCGCCAAAGTCCCGGAGCAGTACGCGCGCGATCTCTGGGTGTGCGTAGCGACAGGCAAAGTGCAGCGGCGTCCAACCATTCTGCGCATTCGCCAAACCAAGATCAGTTCAACACAGCCAGTGGAGATGCTCTGGTGTGATTTAAGGGCCGGGGGGTGGGGTGTTGCGGGGCACGGACGCGGTCAGTTGCATGGACGTCGGCAGCAAAGCCCTGCAACAGGACACGTGCCACTTCCAAATGCCCCGCTACGCAGGCATCGTGCAGAGGGCTCCGATCTTCCTACAAAGGTTAGCCACTTGCTGTGAGAGGCGTGAGACGCATTCAAGCGTTGCAAACGCAAGGGAGGGGCCTACAAAGTCCCGTGCGTCCACGTTGGCGGCAAAATCACTCAGCATCATGGCGGCAACTTGAGCATGGCCTTGTGCACAGGCCACATGTAGCGGCGTCTCTCCCATCTAAAGTCACCCGGTCTTGCTCTTGAGCCAAATAGTATAATCATAATCAACTCAAGCAGCGCACGGGCGTTGCGCGTACCTGCTCGTCACGTGCGTCAACGTCAAGTTCGCAGTCACGAAGCAGCGCCTGAACAAGAGCAAGATGTCCATGCTCACAGGCAGCATGCAGCGGCTCAGCACCATTGCTCTACCCGGCCCGATCAGCGTGAGGCGTGGTCGTGGGCACGGTTGGGATCCGAATGGCGCAACGTTCGACCCACTGCTTCACAGGCGCGACCTGCTGCCTTGGCTCGGTCCGGGGTCGCGGCCCAGCTCTGCAACAAATCCAGCGCAGCCTGCGGGCTCTCAGCGTCACACGCTTGACACAATGCCTGCGCATCCAAGCCTGCCTGGGCTTCGGCCTCATCGTCGCGTTCCGACGCCCCCATCATCGATCGTGAAACACACACACACACACACACACACACACACACACACACACACACACACACACACACACACACACACACACACACACACACACACACACACACACACACACACACACACACACACACACACACACACACACACACACACACACACACACACACACCACACACACACACACACACACACACACACACACACACACACACACACACACACACACACACACAACCAAAAAAGGGACAAGCGTTAAGGTATTGTATGACGGTTGATACACTTTCGACTCTAATAAAGTGACAATTGATACACTTTATATTTTTGATTTGTCAGACAATCCTTGCAAGGACCATAGAGTGATCGGCTGAGGAGGAAGACAAGGTCCATCCGTCCGTCCTGTGCTTCGGGAGCCAAGCAAGGCGGTCAAGACGCTTCTGTTATAAAGAATGGGGACAAGCTGTTTTTTTAGTTTGCACGGCGAGTTGCTTGCGCAAAAGTGGCTTTGTATCTGGCTGTCACGTTCGGTGGGACGGTACTGTGGTTGACATGTGGCACGGTCAAAACGGCTTTTCCAGAGGTGTCATTCAAATCAATTTCGAGACATGTGGACTGAGCAATAAACAGGCACGTATCATATGTGGTACGTGTCGTTCAAGCAAAGCCTCAGATGCAAAAACATGTTAAAAAAAAAAGCACAGCACTCTGGGCTGCGCCAACTATCATCGCACACCACTATCATCGCACACCACTACGTATGTGTCGTTCAAGCAAAGCCTCAGATGCAAAAACATGTTAAAAAAAAAAAAAGCACAGCACTCTGGGCTGCGCCAACTATCATCGCACACCACTATCATCGCACACCACTACCGTCAGACCTGTGAGACACAAGTGGTCGGGCGTCGCCGAAGACTTGAAAGCTGCCGGACAACATCGTCACTCAAGGGCGTCTGCGCGAGTTGACCTAGCTCATCCCCTTCGGGCTGGAATATATGAAGCATGTTGAGAGGAGGCATCTGCACATCTGCTGGATCCATCGGCACACCTGCTATATCCATCGGCACACCTGCTGGATCCATGTCCATGTCATCTCGGCTGACATGCGGGTCAGCAAAGTAGCGCAGCTTGTGATGCCGGAGCATGTGCGCGCGTCCGTAAGCGTCGAGGCCTTGAACCACGACCTTCTTTCCGAGTTGCTGGTAACGCTTGCAGACTCCACGCAATGCCGAAATAGCGGAAAAGTCAGACACCAGTGCGGCGGAAAAGTCAATGACAACGCGTCTGGGGTCGTGGGCCGGGTCAAAGGCACCCCGAAAGGTTGAGGCCGAACCAAAGAACAGCGGTCCACTAAAGTAGTAGACCTTTTCCTGCAATTGGTGCGGGCTGGCTACATCAGTCCCACTATCTGCCGGCGAGGGACAGCCGTTCTCTTGGACGTCGGGCATCGTTGTTTCGGTCGGGTCGGCAATAACGATGGTAGTGGACGGGGTCGCGCCTTCGGTGCTCAACAGAGAGGCTCCACTGTCTGTTCGCTTCCTCTCTGCAGAAGCAAAGGGCAGTGGATCGCCGTTCTGGTGGTCCGGCTTCTGTGATGCCTGCGGTGTGCCCGGCTTATCGGCTTTGTCAGGATCACCGGAAGCAGGGCGCAGCTCAGTGCGGCAGTGAATAAGCTCGCCACTGGCATAGGCGTGAACCAGTGCACGCCAAACAACACCGGCCAAGACGGCATACGCCAGATTTGTGGTGACGGCTAGCACCGTGACGAGGATGATCCCCAAGCTATCAGGCCAGGCCAGCTGAAACAGCAGACGAAAGGTGGGCCAGTGGAAGGTCTTGCTGATAATGACAAAGAGAATGCCGCTGAGGCAAGCCACGGGCACAATCTCAATGGCATGCGCCAGCGCTACAACAATGATAATGAGGAAGACCGAGGCCGAGGTGGACGAAAGGCGATGTCTAGCACCGTTCATGACATTGACGGTGGATTGCCCGATCATGGCGTCCCCACCCATAGAGCTGAACAGGCCCGAAACAAAGTTACCCAAGCCCTGGGCCACACATTCGCGTGTTGAGGCCCAACGGTCACCGGGCTCTTGGAGCAGTTCAGATACCGCCTCGGAGGTGACGATGGATTCGATAGCTCCAACCATGGCGAGGATAGCGCTGTACTGCAGCATGGTGCCCCAGTCGGCTGCCTCGGGTTTGGTGGGAAAGCGAGGAGCCGCAAAATTGCCGGGGAGAGGGGCCGTTTCTCCGACTGTACGGGTCGGGAGGCCAATGGCCGGGCGATTGATTGCATGCTCAAAGACGGTCACCAGGACAAGGGAGACGAGGGCTGCAGGCACATAGCGGTGCATGGCACGCCAACGAGGAAGGAGCGCCGTGATGGCTGTGGACATGAGACTTTCCAGAATCACCATCCAGGTGCGACCATCGTTGATGGGCATCCACTCGAGCGTATCGGCACGGGCGCAAACGTCGTACGTGGCGCCCGGACACTCTTTGAAGGAGGCGAGCTGAGAAATGAGAGTGATGATGGCCAGCCCATTCATAAAGCCAATCATGGCTGTAAAGGGGATGAGGCGCGCAAAGCGGGCCAAACCCAGAATGGCGATTGCCACCTGCAAACCGCCGGTGATCATGAGAGTGATGTTGACAAGGCTGTTCACTTCCTGATCGCTAAACTGCCCGTCACGCCACACGCCACCAGGGCCCGTGAGGTCCGCTAAAATTACGGCCATGGCGCCGGCGGCGCCGCTAACCATGCATGGGCGAGAGCCAAGGAGGCCGGCGATGAAACCTATAAAAATGGTGGCCCGAAGACCGTAAATGGGGTCCAGGCCGGCGACAAAGGAAAAGGCCACCGATTCGGGAATTTGCAGGACGGCAATGGTAAACCCTGACACGAGCTCACGCCGCAGGGCAGTGGGGGCATGACGGTAGTACACAACAGCATCTCGAGTTTGAGTCGCGACTTGATGCGGGGCGGCTCTCAGAGCTGCACCAAGGGCACGCCCCGTGCTGGCCACCCCAGTGCCAATTTGGACCGCCGCATCGCATGTGGCCCCCCGTGCCGTGGTCAAGCACAGTCGCAGATGGTCTACAGTATGCATAGCCGTCGCCGGCAAGTCGGTACAGCTAATGGGGAGATGGATTCACGTCCGTCACCCAGCGGCGGCCTCAAAAGAGAACGCGCCCGCAGCGTCCGTCCACACACCGAATCAACGATTCGTTTATCAAGGACCTCTTGACAAGGAAGATGGACCAGCCCCTGTTCTTCCGTACGGATTGGAGATGCTGCTCGCGTGCCCTCGGTGCTGCCCACATGTGCAACATGGCTAGCCATGTGAGCAAGCACGCGTGGACGACGACATGTACTTGGAGCCGATGACAAGCGGGGGCGTTGCTCGTGATGAACGAAATTCATTTGCCATGTCTGTGTGATGCGTGCAATCATGCAGAAGCAAGTTTTATCTGACAATGAGCGAAGTGGACACAACTTGATCTTGATTCTTCAAAAAAAAAGAAATCAAGTGTCATGTTATGTGTTTCCGTGTGTGTGTGTGTGTGTGTGTGTGTATGTATGAGCGTGTGTGTGTGTGTGTGTGTGTGTGTGTGTGTGTGTGTGTGTGTGTGTGTGTGTGTGTGTGTGTGTGTGTGTATGAACTCGTGACAAGGCCTCTCATGAAATCAGGATCAAGCAGACCTGGCGAGAGATCAAAACCAGACGCTGGATGTCGGCTCACTCGAGCTCTTTCATCAACCGTGCGCCTGTTTTAGCACTTTTTTTTTATTTGCAGAAGGCAGCTATTTGTGTGTGAATGGCGCACGGCTGGGATTGATATCACGGCAATCAATGTCGATCCTTGCAAGCTCTGGGCATCCTTCTGATCGTAGTCGGAGAGAAACACCTCGCCAGCTTTCAAGTGTCAGCTGTCACTTCGGCCCCCCTGTGTTGCCCAGCGTCTTCTTTTTCCTTGGAAAGGTGCTTGTTGGACGCGCAACGATGAAGCGGGCCATGGGCGGCGCACGTGCTCCTGGTGGTGCGTTGTCGTCGTTGTGGCCCGACGAGCAAGAGCTGTCGAGGTGCAAGCTGCGACAGGAATAAACGGGTAGTTAAACGACATTGCCGTGCGACCGTGTTGGATGAACCATTCTTGCTGATCTCGTGTTGGGCTGCCATTTGTTGTCAAGACAATTCCTCGATCTGACCATGAGGTGCCGTGGCCACTGGTGCGCAATGGACGCGCTAGCGAGGCCCAGGAGCCCGGAGTCTGTTCATAATTGGCACGAAACACAGCTGTTCAGAGGGAGGTGAGGAACCTATCTGCGGCCCGTTGTTGAAAATGCCATCCATGATGCCGGCTGCCAGAGCGGAGGGCAAGGATGCGTTTTGCGAGTTTTGGCGCGCGACACCCCGGACGATTCTGACGGTAGTGCTGTGGCACACAGGATGGTTCCAGATGAATGAGGACACCGTGGCTGAAGCAGCAAGCAAAGTGAAAAAGATGAGGCGTGCTTTGTTTTTTTATCGTGCGACGATAGTTGAGAACAGAGGCCCGGCTGCCGGTCGGTGTGGGTGCAGAAGTCAAGGTGCGCTTTATTTTTTAAGCGTGGGCCGTTTTGAGGGGTGCACTCATGCCAGGGCTGGCGTGTGGCAGGATGGTCCCTGGTAAGAGAGGACTAGACAGTGAGCACTCCAAGAACATGGCAAAAGTGGGGCGTGCTTTGCTTTGACGTGAGACGAAAACTGAGATCAGAGACCTGGCTGCCATGTGTCAATGGGAGTGTTTGTTTTTACACGTTAGTTTAGGCCATTCGAGAGGGATACTACTGTCAGGGCTTGTGTATTACAAGGTGGTCCCAGGTGAGTTTCGACTCCGTGGCGAGCGCCACAAGCACTTGACGGAGATTATGTATGATTTGCTCCGACGTGCAACGGAATTTGAGATGGTGGACCCGGCTGCCATGTGGTGTTGGCAAAGGGGCCAAGGGCGCTTTTTTCCAGTTTTGTGTACTAATCGCTGGCTTGTGTGTCACAGGGCGTCTCAGGTGGCTTTATGACCAACACGGCAAGGGTGTCAATGAGGCCAGGTTTACTTGACATTGACGTGCCATGAAATCTCAGATTGAGGACCCGGCTGCCATTTGTCATCGCGTTTTTTTTTTACACTTTGGCTTCTCTTTGCTCGTCGGCTCTCCAATTCGACACTACCAGCAAGCGTGCCAGCTTTTGATGACTTGTTTACCCAGACACTCTCAATGTACAGATGTTAAGACCCTGTGGCAGTCATTTGTAGCGCCAAAAAGCGTTGTAGCGATGTTCTCTCGATTTGAGCTGGACAGGAGAGAAAAAAAACATCAAAAGTTGAAGCAGCAGCTCAAAACAAAGTGGGCCCATGAGCGAGCAGGCGACTATAGGACTTCAAAAGTATGTTTCTGAAGCCCTCGTATGTCCCATCGTGGTTTTTCACAAAATCTTCGGGTGAGCCGGTAAGGAAATCGGGTAGCGAGCGAGCAGCGTTCAAGACAGGTCGCCAGGTAGATCTCAAGTAACCCTCATCCCAAAAATCAGTGCTACGCAGGTCATTTGGCCAGTCGCCCTTTCGCACCATTCGCAAGAAGATGCCCTTTGCAAACATTTCCAGGTCATGTCGGAACTGGGGCACCACCTCACTCTGCAAACCACAACCAGTCGAACATGAGGGGGCTTGCACACTGCAATTCTTCCCACATTCACTGCAGCAAGCGGTACGAACCTCGCCAATCATGTCATCTGCTTGCTCACAAGGCCAGCCAGTGGGTACAACTGGCTGGCCTGTGCGAATCTCTTCAGCCGACCCCCAGTCGTTGAACAGGATTTTTGAACCCACTCGAAAATAGTTGCGGGGAAGCGGGTCACGATGAACAAGCCCGGCCTTGTGCGCGGCCTTGAGCACGTCCAAAAGCATTGATAGCTCGTGTCTTGTGGGAGGCGTGGCAAATTCCTCGCCTACAGGGGTCACGACGCAGCAGTAGGGGTGCCCTTTCGAGTAACCCTTGAGGACAGGCACATTTTCAACCTTAGCGGAACCCAGCTTGTTAAGCATGTCACGCTCCTGCTTCATGGCGGCTTCGTTCTTGAAAATCTTGAAGACGGCCGGCTTGTCATGAAAGTAGCCTTTGTACGCCTTGCAGTGCCTGCCCTCGCCGAGAAAGCAGTATGGTTGGTAATACAATGGCTGCCCATCGTTGTCAGGAATGTTCACGCGCAAGTCCACGAAACCAAGCTCACTAGGTTCCATGGTCAGCAGTCGGACAAGGGGCGCGCCCGACCCCAAATGGCCCTGTATTATGGTCTCGAAGTGAATGAAGCCGGTTCCGCATCGATATGCCCGGATGATGTGGAAGTTGAAACAGTTCACCAACGCGCCAAAGCAGAAGTGTCGATCTGGAGACAGCTCCAACAATTTATCTAAATAAGAAAAGAGTTGGCCAAGAGCCGAAGCTGCAAACTTCTTCGTGCTGCGCTTGAGCTCCAAAATGCAGGCAATGTTGCCATCCCTGTAAGGGTCTCTTGCCCCCAACACAATGTCGGGCTTGTACTGGTCCAGAGTTGCAACATCGGGAGAGCTACAAACGCGACATGGGATATTCTTTGTCTGCTTCTGGAGAAAGTCAACCCAGGCTTTTTGGAGATCTGCTTCCAAAGTGCGCTGGCCCTTTGGAATGCTGTCGGCCATGGTTTCCTGCTCCGACGTGAGCTCCGAACGGAACGGGGCCACCTCTGACTCGTCGGCTGTTTTGTATCGACCCTTCCGGGTCACTTGATTGTAATAGTCTAGATACCCGTCCCCTGAAGCCCCGGACACGACCGCACTTGCTGGCACCACCAACACGCCAGAGGATTGCTGGGGGCGAGGGCTCACTGCAGCCGCCATGGGTGAGTTCGTTTTGCTTGCAGCGTTATTCCGCGCCTGGGAAGCACGGACTACTTCGTCTTTCAAGGTCTGCAAGTACGATTCAAAGACACGGCTCAGCTCTGCGGAATGTGGACGCGAGATGACCAAGTTCACTTCGGCTTTGGCCACGTTCACTTTGGCATCGGCCACGTTCACTTTGGCATCGGCAACGTTCAGTTCGGCATCAGCCACGCCCGCCTCGGCTTGGGCTCGGTCTCCATCATTTGTAGCCGCTTCCACTTTGGCTTTGGCCACGCCCAATTCGAATTTGGCCTCGTTCACTTTGGCATCGGCCACGCTCACTTCGGCTTTGGCCACGTTCACTTTGGCATCGGCCACGTTCACTTCGGCTTTGGCCACACTTGATTCGGCTCGGGCTCGGTCTTTGTCATTTGTAGCCGCTTCCACTTTGGCTTTGGCCACGCCCAATTCGAATTTGGCCACGTTCACTTCGGCTTTGGCCACGTTCACTTCGGCTTTGGCCACGTTCACTTCGGCTTTGGCCACACTTGATTCGGCTCGGGCTCGGTCTCCATCATTTGTAGCCGCTTCCACTTTAGCTTCAGCCACGCCCAGTTTGGCTTCGGCCACCTTCACTTTGGCCTTGGCCACGCCCAATTCGGCTTTGGCCACGTTCACTTCGGCATTGGCTTGCTCTTCCGTGGCCATGGACGCCTGGGCACGTTCCTCAGCGCTGTCCAGCTTGGCTTCAGCGATGTCCAGCCTGGCTTCAGCATTTTTAAGCTTGTCTTCAGCCTTGCTCAGTTTGTCTCCAGCCTTGCTCGGTTTTTCCGTTGCTCTAGCTGGGCGCGAAGCGGCGCCGGATCGCTCGTCTGCACTGCCACTGCTCGCCATCCTAGGCATAGAAAAAAACCAGAAAAGGTGAGCAGTGCATGACTTTTCCAAAGACCGAAAACAAACATAAGTCGCCTAAGCATCTCACTACTTTTCGCGCCAAAAATGAAGTGGAACGACGTGGATTCACACCAAAAAAAAAAAAACGGCAGCCATAATGCAACAAACACGCAATTTGAATGCAATCCATGCCCTTTTGATGATCGCATCCCGTAACGGGCTCATTAAATGCATTCACTACTCTTCACGCCCAAAGTGTCTGGTTATTCAACTTCACACACACACGCACACACACACACACACACACACACACATAC